CAGATGTACAGTCAGAAACACAGTTTACAGAAATACAACACGAGTTCTATTCAGAAGGAAGACTGACAAAGAGGATCGATTCCCAGCTCCCTGGTAAAGGGGCTCTGGAAAGAGAGCACGAAGCTGGACATGCTGGCCAGGTACTGGAGGAGTTTGAAGGTGATACCAGTTCAACCCCACAAAAACAATGAGAGAAATGGCAACTTGCACATCAGGTACAAAGTCCATAATCTTGCTTAGAGCATCACTTTAAGTTTGCACATAAAACTAACAAAAAAGAGAAGGAAATGTTGAATGACAACAGGAAGAACCAACAGATCACTGTTGCACAGATATCCATGGAAAAACATGAAGACGACGGGACAGAAAGAAAAAGGATCAGTGATATTCCCGTGTCCAAAAGAAGAGGCGGAGTGGCCGTACTAGAAGAGCAAATGGAGTGGAAAGGACCTGGTGAGAGGACCAGCCTCGCTGGCCCGAGCTGCTGCTCGCCCGGGGCATGAGCTGAGCTCGGGGAGGCTCCGCTGGTGTGTCCTGAGCTGGTCCCGGCCCCGGGCACTGCCGAGCCCCGGCCGGACCCCCGCCCGCTGCCTCAGCCCGCACCGACCGAGCCCGACCGGCCCCGTGAAACCCCCGTGTCACAAGTTGTGACGCCTCAAATCCCCCACTGCTGTGCCCCCGGGCGGGAGCGGCTGTTCCCGCAGAGCCGAGCCGGGGCTGGGCACGCCGGGGGCTCCCGCGTGTCCCCCCGGGCAGCACCGGGGCTCCCACATCCCCGCCGTGCCGGCACCACAGCCCGGCACCCCGGGCAGGGGCTCCCCGTCCCCACAGCCCGGCACCCCGGGCAGGGGCTCCCCGTCCCCACAGCCCGGCACCCCGGGCAGGGGCTCCCCGTCCCCACAGCCCGGCACCCCGGGCAGGGGCTCTCCGTCCCCACAGCCCGGCACCCCCGCCCGAACCCGGGCGCTACCGGGGCCTTTTGTCCGCCGGGGCCACGTTCTGTCACCACCGGGGGACAATTCGCCTTTTCGGGGCATTAACACGAGCGAGCCGCCCCCCCCGGCGCGGCGGGGCGATGGCACCGGGATGGCACCCGGGATACACCGGGATAACACCCGGGATAACACCCGGGATAACACCCGGGATAACGGGGCCGGGGCGCCGCTCGCCACCCCCGGGGCGGCGGCAGCGCCCGGAGCCTCCTTCCCCCGGCCGGCCGGAGCACACGGGGCCCGGCCCGGCCCTGCCCGCCGCCCCCGGCCCGGCCCGGCCCGTGCTCACCGCACATGGTGCTCCCGCCCGGCGGCCGCGCTGTCTGAGGCGCCGGGGCCGCGCCCCCCGCCCGGGCACCGCGCAGGCCCCGGGCCCGCCCCCCGCTCGCCCCGCCCGGCCCGGCCCGGCCCCCGGGACGTGGCAGCCGCAGCCGGGCCCGCGCCCGCCGGGAGGGCCCGGGGAGGGCCCGGGGAGGGCCCGGCGCGGACAAAGCGGCGCCCGCCTCCCCTCGGGGGCCGGGAGCACCCCCGGGACACGGGGAGGGCGAGGCCGCGCCCGGAGCCCCCCCCCCGGCAATTCCCAGCGCTGAGACAGGGGAAGGGAGGGCCCTTCCTAGAGCCCCCCTCCCGTAATTCCCACCCTGAGACACGGGCTGGGGGTCTGTCCATTCCCAGAGCCCTCCCCCTGTAATTCCCAGCTCAGATACAGGGGATATGTGCCCGCTCCCTGATCCCCCCCGTAATTCCCAGCCCCGAAACACGGGTGCTGTCCGCCCATTCCCTGAGCCCCCCCCGGTAATTCCCAGCCCTGGGATGCTGGGAGGGAGGTCTGCCCATTCCCTGAGACACCCCCCACCCCACCCCGTAATTCCCACCCTGAGACACGGGCTAGGGGGTCTGTCCGTTCCCTGAGCCTCCCTGGTAATTCCCAGCCCTGAGATACAGGGGATACTCCCTGAGACCCCCGGTAATACCCAGCCCCAAGACATGGGCTGGGGGGTCTGTTCATTCCCAGATCCCCCCGGTAACACCCAGCCCTGAGATACAGGGGATATGTGCCCATTCCCAGAGCTCCCCTGGTAATTCCCAGCCCGGAGACAACGGGAGGTGAATGACCATTCCCTGAGCCCCCTGGTATTTCCTAGCCCCGAGATACAGGGGAGGTTGTGTCTGTCCCCTGAAGCCTTCCCCAGTAATTCCCAGCCCCAAGACACAGGAGGGTGTACCCGTTCCCAGAGCCCCCCCCCCGCTAATTCCCACTGACACCAGTCAGGAGCAGCACCCTCGGGATCATCCCCAGGCCTTTCCACAGCCGTCAGCACTCGCAGAGGACCGAGTTAAGAACCCGAGAGCCAAAGGGCTTCTCCAGGCTCGGGCAGGGAGCAAACAGCCCCTCCTGTACCCCCGTGACACAGCGCGAATCTTCCCAGAGCCACGTGGCCTGGCCTCTCGTTTCCTACTCTGACTGTTCTACAACAGCACCTATTCAGAAGCAAGAGAAAGGAACCATCAAGATGAATCTGCAAAGCAAACCAGGGCCCGGCATGAGTGACAAAGGAGCGACATCCCTGCAGCTGGAGAGCTGTGACACTGTCTGCCTGCAACTACCACCATCAAACCCTGCTGGAAAACTTATTAAAAGCCTAAGGCTACAAAAGAGAGCAATGCCTTAAGAAAAATGCCATTCATTCAAGTTTATCTTACTCTAAATTAAAGTCAACAAAGAAATATTTCCTTAAAAAGCCCCCAAAACAAGGAGCAATGTGAGTGCACATCAAAGAACCAGCACAGGGTGGATTTTGAACTTGCTGCTGGAACCTGGCTGAACGGAGCAGCGAGAAGGTCACGGATCTAAGGAACATCAGAAGCTCAGAGCCAGCACAGAGCCACTTCCCAGCTTTTGTTCCAGCGAGGGCACAGGGGAAGGAGCCAAGGCAGTGATCCTGCTCTGAGATGGCTCTGCAGAGCAGTGCTCTGCCATCCAAGCTGTTGGTGCTTTAACCCCTTGCTCAGTTGGGATGAGAAGGGCCGACTTCACATCCTCAGTTTTCTTCCACTTCCCTGTCTTCCCTTAGGAAGGGGAGTGTCTCGTGGCACTGGAAGCTGATTTCCCAGGTGAGAAGGGAACAGCGGAGCCCTGGGAAGGTGTGAGCACCAGGAATGCACACCCTGCACGGCAGAGCTGCTCTCCCTGCTCAGCACTGACCCCCCAGGTTACTGATCCACAGGCACTCCCCATGCACCTCCTGCTCTGGTTCTGTGCTGGGAATTCCTTCCCTTCCCTGCAGCAGCTCCAGGACTTGGTACCACTGATAGAATTTCCTAATGTATCCTACAAACCTGGAATAACGTAGGGCATTGTCTCAATACAAACTGAAAGGCTGCACCACGAGTGTAACCAGGGGTGCCCCACGCTCAGCTCTGTCAGCAGCACAGCAAAGACCTGACTGCACAACCTGAACCTGGGCCACACCTGATGTTATAAAAACAAACCCCTCAAACGGAGAGTAACCCTCCACTTGCACTCGTCAGTTCCTCAGAACTCCACACACACAGAAATCCAGCTCCACGTGTTTAATCCTGAAGTGGCTATTGAATTTTTTGCCCATAAAAGCCAATATTTCCCACCATGTAACTTCTTATTCTGAGGTTTGCTGTACGTACAGGACATGCTGTTACTACTATGTAGTAGTTCATGTGGATGTAAAGTGCAACTTACCACCAAACAGAGAAACGTGAGAAGTTTCCCAAACTCTCACCCATGAGCCTTTGAAAATTAACACTTGAAACAGAAGCTCTGGCTCAAGTCCTGAATTTTAGACAGATTGCAAACTACCACACCTTGGAAAAGAGTTATATCCCTGATATATAACCAGATTATATTATTATATCCCTGATAACCAGATTAACCTCGGGTAATGTGAGTGACTTCCTCCCACATCATGTGAGGGCAATTCCTTCTAGAAACTCGGGATGAGCCACATCCTGACAAAAAAGATGTGTCCACCTGCAAACAGTCATAAGACAAGAGTTCAGATGGCTGTAATCAACTTTTCCTGTAAGGGAGGGCTAGAAGAGTGCCTAGGAAAAGTGAATGCATGTTGTGTTTCCTCTGACATGGGTGAAAACAAAATGCCTCCCTGGCAGACTGTAACTCTGCACTTAGCTACTGCACACCAAAGATACCACAGAACTTCTTTTGTCTTTAAAAACACACCAGAATAATTTCGAGCAGCCATTACTACTTTAAGTAGTCGTTATATTTACAATGACTAACTGGAATTTATAGAAAGACTTCACAGCCAAAAACCCCTTGCTGACCTGAGAGGCTTCCCAGCCCCAGCTGAAGGGCCCTCTTCAAACACAGAGCTGAGAACAGCCCGTCCCTGCCCCAGAGGACGTGGCCACTCACTCCCTCCCAAGCTGAACAGTCAGGACTATGTGCCCATGGAAGGGTTTTTGGGTGAGTGGAGGAGATGGGACACCTCTCACCAACAGGGATTCTTTCCATGAGCTGAGCTGTTCAGGGCTTGGAAGTTCACACAGAAGCTCCTGCTGGTCTGGGCTGATGCTTTCACCCCACTGGGCTATCAGAGCACTGGTGCTCGTGGCTGTGGTCAGTGCTGGAACACACCTGGGTTTGTGCTGCTTCCCAAGGGAGAACTGGCACTTCCACCCTCCCTCTGCTGTGGTTTATCCCGAGCTGGAGCCCCCCCCATTGCCTCTTGCTGCCCTGAGGGCTCTGGGGTGGGGCAGAGCAGATGCAGGAGGGTGGGATGTGTTGTGACCTCCTCTCCCCAGGGCAGAGCTCGAGGAACCTGAGGACACACAGGATATAGGATGGACATGGAATCTTTTCAGGCTCAAGATCACAAGGTGCTTAATCTTCACCCTCTGTACACACAGGCTTAATTTGGTCCTCTCTGTACAAATCAAACAAGACTGGAAATGTCCCTACAGTACCTGGAGGAGATTAGTACTGCTTAACTGAAGAGTAACCACCACATCTTTCATAGACACATTTTATTTACCACACAAAACAGCTACTTTGCTGTTTGGGTTTTGGCTGATACAGTGCATTAAATTGGGAAATCAGTCCTAAAAAGGTCTCTTTTTGAGAAACCAGAGCCATGACTCGCCGTTCTACGGTTTGCTGATGGAGAACAGGGCACTGATGTTTGCACAAGCTCTCTTTTGGGCAGTCTGAGCCTGCCTTGAGGGGAATTTTGTCATCAATGCACTTGTAAGATCAGGCACTGTGTACTTCATCAGTGGGTAAAGAAAATATTGTGATTTCAGACCAATTTCCAAATCCTGAGTGGGTAATTTAAACTACTGTGGGTTATTACTCTCCATGAAAGCTGCAGAAATATTTAGCTAAAATATTTCTTTTCAGATTTCTAACAAGCAGTATGAAGTTTATGGCTGCCACATGCTGATGAGCTGCTATGTAAAAGATTCTCCACCGACTGAACTGATCCTGCTTAGGGACTCAGTGGAATAATTACCCTGGCAAGGAGTGAGAGAGGGGAACACAGCTTTGTCAAATCCTTGCACCAGGGAACACGAGCACAGGCCAAATAATGACCACTAGCTCAGCCCGGTGGGGCAGCACAAAGCAGAAACAGTATTTCCACTCCCAAAGCCGTGCTGGAGCCAGGCACCAGGAAGAAATCCTTCCCCCACACACAAGTAAACACAACTACTCCTCGCAAAGCCCCATTTATGTATTCCAGTGTCAGAACAACAAATATTTCCCTTCCCCTGCTCTCTCAGATGGAAGGTGTTGGCTCTGCCACGTCCCCCTCCCGCAGCAGCCGGGGCAGCCAAGTTCCTCCCGGCCCTGCCGGAGAACAAACAGGATCCAGCAGGAGCAAACAGTCCTTCTCCTGCCATCCAAACGCAATCCGTGCCCTCAAGCACCCACTTTCCTCTGCAAGGTGGAGAATTACATCCTGCAGAAGTTTTTGCATGTTTAAACAGACCGCTAATGGTGGCTGAACGATTTTACTTCTAAATAGGCTAATTAGCCTCTCTACTTCCTGAAGCTAACAGGATCATCTTCTTCTAACATTTACTTTAAAAGATATGATTTCTGTAACAAACAATTCACATCTTTTGTTGTTTTTTTTGCTGTTTGCACAGTGGCAATGAGCAATCAGGTAACACGAAAAATTGACAGGAATCAAAAGCTTTTTAAAAAGACTTGATAAAATTAACATTCCTGATTCCCCAGTTAGAGAGCAAGGGCAGAGTCCTGCCAGGCCCATGGAGGTTTAGGGGAATAAACATCTATTTCTATTGCACAGTCACAAAACTTGACTTCTGCCTTCTCTTTTTTCACTCTTGAATTATCCGTATGAACCAACGAAGAGAGACCTCACCGTTTTTCAAGCCCACCATTTCTTTCTTAAGACACAGCATAAGAGAGAGCAAAAGGATTGTTTTTAATGGAGGGCATTTAATAAATTAGTGGACAAGCTGCTTACACTGATGACACACTTTCCCAGGGAAGTGCAACTATGTTTCTGAAAAGGCGGATTGGGTTGTTTCTCAGCACAAAGATGGTTTACACACACCAGGATGTAAAGGTGTGTTTGGCCACAGATGATGCAACTCAAGTAGAATTTGCTTCTTTCTCCACGTCATCGTCGTCGTCAACAACCTGAAATCAAATCCAGAAGTGGTTTAGGTAAACAGTTTAGACTCTCAGCCCTGCAGGATTTATTACATCAAAGCCCTGCTGGGCCTGAGAAGAACAGCAGTTATCCCACAGCCTGAACGACAACAGGCATGTGAAGGATGTGAGAAAAACCTGCAACCCAAAATGCCACAGGAAACGTGGCTGGAATAATGGAAGCTGGTCAAGTTACCACAAAAGCTAGGAAAACAATCACTACAGGTATCAGATATTTCATGAGAAAGCAAAAGACTCTGCGTTCCAGGGGGCAGAAGCCTGTTGCTTTTTATCACGTAAAGTCAGCAAAGCACATTGGGGAACTGAAAACAGTGTCCAGGTCTGGGCTCCTCGGCAGAAGAGGGACATGGGCATTTTGGAGAGAGTCCAGCAAGGGCTCACCTCCCTCAGGCTGCTGCCAGCACCATCAACAGCTCTGCCATGAGGCACAGGCTGCTCAGGGGCAGCCTGGCACCCTCCAGCACCAGGTCCTTGGCTGCCACGCTGCTCCCCAGCCAGGCAGCCCAGCATGGGGGCTTGGACAGGATTTTGCAGTGTTCCATATCCTTTGCCAACATACAGGTCCTGACTTGGAAACCCTGACTTGGAAACCCACATCTCTCCATCCCGTTCTTTCCCTGAACTGCCAACCTGTGCAGGCTGGAAAGGGACAAAGCCCTCCTTCTGCACTGAAAAGAAACCAGCTCTGACCCCTGCCCAACCCACCTGTTCCACGCCTTCCACCTCGGGGATGTAGAACTGCAGCATGTTCTGGATCCCGTTCTTCAGGGTGATGATGGAGCTGGGACAGCTGGTGCACGAGCCCTGCAGCTTCAGCTGCACAATGCCATCCTCAAAGCCTTTATAAATCACATCACCACCGTCCTCCTGCACCGTCGGCCTGGTGGGACACGAGACTCAATTCACAGCAAGTACACCTGAAATATGGATCCTTCCAGAAACCTTCAGGAAAGCCAAATTTAACACACACAAAATACAGAGTAACTGCAGCCCTCTTTCTCTACAACCACATGGTTCAAATTTCCAACACCTCCTACTTTGCTGGGCTCTCTCATGTTGACAGAAACTGTTTTTCCATAGGACATTGAGCAAAATACTTTTGCAATGAAAGCAGCAGTGTATGAAGGAATCACTGCCATTTTAGGGGAGAGGGTAAACAAACACCTTGGAGCAGAGCTGGATCCAGCCTGCACAGACACACGGGGCTGCCCAAAGGCCCTCCCCACATGCAGGAACTGCCCAGTTATTGCCAGCACTGCTGGGGTGTGTCCTACCATGGGGTGCATGTGCAGCTGGCACCTGTGATAAGGAGTCCTGAAGTCCTTCCATAAATAAATATGCAGTTCTCCACAATTTACTGAGGACAGAAAATAACTGCAACTATAAAAGCTTAATCCTGCTCAGGGGTGAAGGAGCCAGCCCTGATAAGCTCCCCCCAGTGCCATTAGCATTTCTGCAGCCTGCTCTCCCTCTGCCAGCCACAAATGCCCAGCATTGTAGCTGGGTCCCCATAGCAACATTTTTCCAGACCAAGCTAAAACCATCAAGTTACTCTAACAGAAGCTCTTTATACTGATTTCCAAAATAACTCTTTGAGAACTACAGTCCTAAGAGAAAAATCCGTCAACCTGACACATTTATTAACTCACCACAGCAAATTATCTCCGTTCCAGAAAGCCAAAGACCACGATTAAAAATTCCATTTTTCTTATTTGAATTAACTTTAACACACTACAGGACCTTTCAGATTGACATTCCCTCCATCCTGCACCTTCTGACAACTTCCATGCATGTATTTTTGATTGACTGAACAATAAATGCTCTGTGTGTACCCTGGTTTATATATAACCTCTGTCCACTACCCTGCTATGAAATGAAGGAAGATACTTCACTGCTGATATTCTCATCAACAGCTTCTTGGTCCACCAAGGGGTACAGGGGGAAGGAAATGAAAGAAAGAAAAAGGTAGGAAAACCAGAAATTTGGGCAGAAATTCTGTGCCTGTTGCAAAAGGGCACTGGGAAATCAGGGAGTGACATATCACAGGGAGCTCAACCCCCCAGGCACCCAGCACGGGCAGGGCCTCCTGGATGTCACTGTCACAGCTTTACACATCATCATTCTGGTTTCAGTGCTTGGGACATACGCTTGGGAAAAATGTTCCAGCTTTTTTCTATTTTTCTTCCTCTTTCAGGAAAACTAACCATGTGTCAGCTCTGAGATAACTGAATTTTTAAGTAAAGTGATATCATTTTAAATGCAGCATCTAAGAAAAAAACAAAAAGGCCCAAGTTCATCATAATTTCCACGATTTTGACCCACAAACAAGTTTCTGGTTCCTGCAGTCTGTGAGCTGGGGAAGATGTCACCATCAGATACCACAGCTCCACAAACACATCAGACATCTCCTCCTCTACGTAAAATGTCAAGTTGCTTATTCCTTTCAGTTCCTTTGGAAGGCAATTAATGAGCACAAAAATAGCCTTCAGGTAAACAACAAGATCCAGAGCCACTCTTGAGACTTCATTAGTTACCACCAGTTTGTAAATTCAAGCTGTGTTAAAGCACCAATAAAATCACAACAGAATGGAGGGACAAAATCCACTGAAGCCCAGACAGAGAGGGAAACCCACTAGTAAATACTCCTTCAGATTATGATAGGAGAGTAAAAACTACTTTCGGATACTTGGAAGGGAAGGACGAGAAAAAAGTAAGAACAGATATTAAAACAGAGAAAAAAAGAAGTGCCTCTAACAGCAAATATTGTGTAGTTTTCATCATTTCAACTGCATCCTCAGCTGGGCCAGCTCTGCCCTTTAAACCCCCAGGTGCTGAGCCAGGAAATCACACACCCCAAGGAAAATCCCACTGCTCCCTAAATAAATCCAACCCCAACACTGACTCACTGATCCAACAAGGTTCCCTGTTTACCTTATCCTTGTATCCAGCAGCTCCTTAATCATCAGCACAACTTCATCATCTTCTTCGGAAGCAGCTTGGGGAGAGAAAGATGTGCAAGTCAGGACCTGGAGAGAATTCCAGGAGGATGCTAACCCTGGATATCCACGGATTCCAGAAGGATGTTAACCCTGGATATCCACGGATTCCAGGAGGATGCTAACCCTGGATATCCATGGATTCCAGAAGGATGTTAACCCTGGATATCCACGGATTCCAGGAGGATGCTAACCCTGGATATCCATGGATTCCAGGAGGATGCTAACCCTGGATATCCATGGATTCCAGGAGGATGCTAACCCTGGATATCCATGGATTCCAGGAGGATGCTAACCCTGGATATCCATGGATTCCAGGAGGATGCTAACCCTGGATATCCACGGTGGCAGAATGAAAACAGCAGAAAACACTGCTGAGATGCCTGAAACCGAAAGGCAGAAATCTCATTTCAGAGTATCTTTTCCTGCATTATCCTTATTTGCATCCCAGGCTTTTGCTGGCAAAACCCAGCTGGTTCAGAGTTCTCAAGAGGCAAAGGCCTTGGCAGAGAGCAGCAGTTCCACTTTTTAAAGGAAGCAACAACTAACATTCCATAGGGATGCAGGGGTTAAGGCAGGGTCCTCGGAAGGAAGGCTTTAGCAAGCTAAAAAAATTCAGCAGGAGAATTATGCACATGTTAGGGTTTAGCAGCTCTGGATGCAATCTAAGCTCAGTGTTAGACTCATAGAAGCATTTCTGAGAGAACCTTTTCAATAAAATAAAGGCTATGTTAATATTAAAATTAAATTCAGATGTAACAGAGAGCAATTCAATTGCCATAATTTTCCTTAAAACACTGAAAAAAACTTTAAGTTGGTAAGCTGCAAATGAGAAAATAAAAGGCAGAATACTACCCTTGAGTTAAATTGTCACTTTCTGTTACTTTCTATTACAGTTTGGAAAAGACCTCTTACTATTTTTCGTTCATTTAAGACCACAAACCTATCATTAAGGCACTGTCATTAAGCCTGGGCACTCCTTTTTCTATTTAAGGTGCCCATATAAAAAGGACAGGCAGCAACCCCCCAGGGCTTTCTAAACTCTGCCTCAGTACTTGTAAACACATCTCCCCTCCTGGGGAGCACCAGAACAGGGCCCAGGTGCCAGGGCAGCCAGCTCAGCACAGCCCTGGATGTCACACACAGCACACGTTGTGGTCGTGGCTGAGCAGCTCCTTCAGACAGGCTGCTAATTCCACTGGAGAGGGTTTAAATTTAAATTCCAATTCTCTTGCTTGCTCTCCTGAGGCTCTTCTGCACGTCACAGAAGCTGAACCCAAAGGCAGCCCCCGGCCTCTTGCCCAAGTTTCATTTACCCGTATCTGTCCTGGGTGCCTCATCAGTGACCACAGGCAAACCAGAGGCAAAGAAATCCATTATAGCTGCATAAATATCTGGTTTCAGTAAGTTCCAATCCAGGTCTTCACTCTCCTGTGGGAATTAAAAGGAAAAAAAAAAAGGAACAGTAAAAAGAAAGTATGAATACCTGCCTCCTAATAGTAATAAGTTACACAAAGATTCTTCTTACATTACAAATACCCTCATGGGCTCACATGTTTACACATGGATTTGATTTCACGGTTTTGTTAAGCCCAGCTTTGCCAAAGAAGTTTAGTAAGAGTCGATTTATCACAGTCAACAAAACAGTCCCCTTGTTTGCAAGCCAAGTGCTATTAGAATATTAGCTAAAAAGGTGTGAAAGTCTCCTAAATACATTATTTGACAGATATTTCCACCAAACTGTTTCAGAGACCCAAGATTATCAAATTCTCACTCCCTGAATTGCCCTGTGTTCTTCACAGTCAGAGCCTGCCCAGTTCCTAAGGAACTCCTTATCTCTCTGACAGGAGCTCCACACCTTGAGCAAACACCACAGGACCTGCAAGGTTCCCCTCCTGGTCCTGTGCCATCGGGAAGCATTCCACAGGTCAGCCAGCCAACTTCCACCAGGAAGCATTCCACAGGTCAGCCAGCCAACTTCCACCAGGAAGCATTCCACAGGTCAGCCAGCCAACTTCCAAGCTGACCATGAGCAAAGGGCCTCAGTCAGTCCAATGCTGACCATTCCCAAGATCAAAGAATCCACAGCTTCCCTGGGTAGCCTGTCCCAGTGCTTAGCCACACGTTGCAATGATTTATCTTCTTTCCATTAAAGGCAATTCCCTTTAGTCACTTGTGGCCATTGCCTCTGGAACTTCCACTTGCATGTCCCAGGGCCTGGCTGGATCAGCTCCGTGGCCGCTTCCAGACAGCTCAGCTTTCAGCACAGCTGAGCCTCTGCTCTGCTTACCTTGGTGATTGTGATGAAGTCTGGTCCAAAGAAAACACTTTTAACTCCTTCAATCCTGAATAACTGTCTGTTCAGGAAACAACAACAAAAACATGGCAAAAATGCACCCACATTTCAGGCAAACTCAAGATTTATATAACCTGTTACAGAAGTTCTAGAATACACTTCTAGACAAAAATAAGCACTAAACCCAGAGCCATGAAGAGAAACTCCAGTTACCTCCCCCACGGCTTAGGCAGAGCCCAGAGTAAAACCCAGCACACCTTACAGGGCTTCCCACAAGACATGTGAGACTTACTCTCTCTCCAGTTCTTTGGGGCAAAACTATATTCTGTATATTACAAGCTATTTGTTCAGCATCAAAACCAGGAGGCACCTGTTGTCTCAGGCAGGACTAGTGCAAAGACAAGGGAAGTTCCTTAGAGTGATCTGAAGTCACTGAGCTCAATAAAAACTGCCACTAAATACAAGGGTTAGTGCTGAGCAGCTTTAACACACCAGCTCACCTTGGGAGGCACCTTCAGTATTTTCAGTCATTAGCAAGGCAAGGAAAAAGGGCAGTTAATAAAGGCATAAGACTCATGGTAAACTGCCTGGGGTGGCCCCATATAGAACCCAACATCCAGGTGGTGAATGAGCACACAAGAACTTACATGATAGGAAAGAGCATATTTTGGACAATGGTTTAAGTACAAAAATGAAAATGAGAATATATAACCCAATATTCATAAATGCTTAATGAAAACCCAACAAATTCATCCACAGAAAAAATAAAAAAAATTAAAACCAGGATGCACTTGGAGGTCAATACAGCACAAGGCTGTAAGAGGGTTTTTTGCAATTATGGGGGAAAAAGATAAGATATTCTCCTGAAAGACTGCAAAACATCAAAAATGCAATAAATGAAGGAATTGGAAATCTTATCACAAAAGTACATGTGATGGAAAATGACAAAAGAGATTTCAGAACAGCCCCTTGAAAGAATCTCTACACATGGGACAGTTGCACTGGGTGTTTGCAGCACTAAACCAACTGCATTTTGAAGTTACTTAAACCATGAAATTGTGCAAGTGCACCAAACCATCTGAGATCAATTAAAGAATTCTCTCCCCTCCCTCCCCTTCAGGAAGTGTTTATTAATTATTTGGAAAATTAATATTCCCTTTTAAAATAAATGAGTATTCCCTTTACAGAACACATAATCTGGGCTTTAACAATACACAGAGCAGACGATTCTTCCCATGAACCTGCACAATACCCACCCCCAAGCTGCCACAATATGCATTCCAGCACATAAATAATCTCTGATTAAAATGTCTATTTGCAAATACATGACAACAAAAAGCCACTTTCTGACAGCTGATTACATTCTGCAACCTGATGTACTTTGGCACAGTGAGATCCTACAGCTGCAGCCCTCTGCTAACACGTGTGGATGTCCTCAGAAACCTTTCACGCTGGATTTATGATTTTAAGTCATGGAGCTTTGCTTGCAAAGATCCTCTTTGCTCTCAAACAACACTGCAAGAGACAGAGCTGCAGCTCCTGGAGGCAAAGCCACGTCCAACAGCTCCTGCTTTTGCCCACAATCCTTCCAACCTACAAAAAGATGCCTTAAACTGGTGACGTACTGTGGCATTTCTGGATCTCACCCCCACGCTGAAGCCCCTCCACCCAGAGAACAGAGAGTTTATTTTCAGAGACTGATGTGAAAGCACTGACACACGTGCACAGTTGATGCTTCCAAATATTCCCAGAGACTTGTGAGGGTGCTCCAAACCCCTTCTATACCAAGGTGATATAAACAAAGTCTGTGCTCAGTGGTTCTTACTCCAGATTATGCATTTTGGTACTGAAAGTTGCACTCCCAGGAGCTGTTACAGACCCAGCCCAAAAGAGGGGGCAAACCTGGCTTTCCTTGAAGTGGAGCATAAACCTTCTGAAGTTCAGGGCAGCCCCAACACCTGCCAAGGGGAGCTACTGCATTTATTTCATGGTATTTGGGGAGTGTTCACTGCCTGTTCCCATACATGATTTCCAAGTAACTCCTTGGATTCAGAGTGCTCTGATGAGAACGAATTTGTGAAACTGGGGCCAGAGGTCTCGCTGGTGATGCAGCAACTGCTTACAAACACTGATTTATAACATCTTTCAATCCAGCTGCATAAACTAGACCATGGTGCCTTCTGCCATGACAGAGCTGAGGGGAGGACACATACACAGAACTTCAGCAACACCAAGCCCCAGCTGTAATCTTAAGCACAAGTAAAGCAGCATTAAAAACTCAAATCCAACCAAGCTGCTTCTAAAGAGGAGCAGAATGATCAGCAGTTGTGCTTAAAAGCATCAGTTGTAGGCACAGAGCCCATACCAGCCCCCAAGCCCACCATGATGTGTTCAGCAATACCTTGCTAAAGGTGAGCAAAACGCTGCAGCTGGTGTGGAAAACTCCATCGTCCTCGACTCCAGCACCTCCCTCCCTGGAATAAACTTCAGGCTATTTGGATTTGGTGTGTCCTGAGTCTGAATAAACATGCCTCTCACTGGAAATACAAAAGCAAAGGAGAAAAATAATATCATCAAACCTAAGGAGCTTCAGTGAAAAGTCAAGGCCTGCTGGATCCCTCTGCTCCAGCAACAGCAGCCTGGGCAGCCACGGGGCTCCAACACCACCACGGGCTCCAGGGAAGCCTCCAGACCCACGGGAACACTGGAAAACACAGGCAGGTCGTCTCACAGGAAAACCTGTGTTACATGGAACCTTGTCTTTGCTTCTTTTGTTAACTTTTATTTAGTAAAAAGCATCCTGCTGCAACAGCATCGAGCTGCACGAGGCCAGGGCCAGCCTGACCTTCTGCTGAGGGCCCAGAGCTGCACCCTGCAGGTCTCTGCTGCCTTGGCTTTTTTTATTTTATGATCCCCAAACACCATTTAATCCCCTTTCCAGATTAAAGCAGAATCAGTTTTGCTAACTCTCTCTTGAAGATGCACATGAGTTATGGGGTTTGGGTTTTATCTCATTTTTCAGCACTATAGAAAAGAAAAACCAGTGTAACAAGAGTTACGGTGAAGTAGACCCAGCTTAGATTTTCCACAGGGTAAAAAATTACTGTGAGCCATCACTTACCCTCCAAAAACTGAACTGACCAAGCAATTTACAATAAACTATTTACCATTCACTGGCAAAGTTCTTTAAAAGATACATTTTTACTGAAGTTCCTTTTTCAACTGTGTCTGTCTCACCGGAAGAGTGTAAAAAACCCTGATTTTAACTAAAATTTAACACTCTACATTTAATGGTGTACATTTAATAGTATTTTTCTGTAGACATGTCCATGCAGCACAGGCCTGGTGTCCCACTGAAGGTGAACATCAGTTAGGGACAGTCTCTCTCTCATATTCTAATCCTTCTTCCTACTCCCTGCACACCCAATAACACAGTGAGATACAAACATGCAGGAAAGAAAAAAAGTGCATTTTAAACAAAAAAAATCTTCAAGAGCTAATATTTATAAATCATATTTGAGAAACAACCTCACATAAATTTAAAAAACACACACTAGAAGGATTTAAAGCAGTAAAAAGAGCTGACATTTTCATTTTTCTAAAGTGCCATTTTGCTCATGACTCCCTGGCATTGAATGGCAAATCACACTGTTTATAAATTGCCAAATTGTTGCTTCGTGTGTCTGTCATGGTGACAATCCCTGTGACTCAAACATACACAATGGTAAATACGCACACACTCCATTTTCTCTATGTTTTTTAAAAGAAAAAAAAAACAAACTTAGGAGGGAAACAGTTTTAAGATGAAAAGAATACTGACAGAGCAAGCAACTAGATTATCCACGGGGATAGAAGAACTACCCATCTTCCAGATCCAGCTGGCATCCAAATCCCATCTGGCATAACCCAGGCATGTCAATTTGAGTCCCCTCTCCCTGTTTTTTGGAAGCAGTGGGACGCTGACAGCCACTGGACACTGCTCATCCAGGTGTGGTCCAACACCCCAACCACAGCCAGCAGGATCAGCCCCCCCAGCAGGTGTCCAGGAGGGCAGGCTCTGTGCTCTAACGTGTGCTCTGCAGTGAAGAGCTGCTTTCCTAAGAGCACCTCTGTCAGTCATTACCCAGCTGGGGAGCTCCTTGCCCAGCTGTGAGGAACTCCCTGGGATTTGTTACTCACAGGTTGGTAACTGGCTGGGTTTGCCTCTGACATCTGTTCTCTGGAGCCTCTGCAGAGCTCTGGGAGTACCTGCTTGTTATCCTGTTCTCCAGGTGAGGGAACAAACCGAGCTGAGACAGCCTTTACCAGGACACGGGCAGGAACAGGTCAAACACTAAGTCTACTTATGAGAAACAGGTAAAACACCAAGTGTACTCACCACTCTGCCTGTTGTTAGAACTGAAAGAGAGAAAACAGTGCTGCAGCAGCTAAGATTGGACTCTCTGAAACCAAAATTAAAGAGCCTTCTGCCTGAGCAGACTCATTTAAATAATATTTCCATCTGTGACTAATTCCATGGAACAGCACCTGCAGAATCTTTATGTCTCTAAACTCCTCAGGCAGCTGCAAAAACATAGTTTTCTGTGGCACAAGTTTCACAGTTTTTTTGTATTTTTCTTCCTTTCCTGAGCTTTGCAGCCTACCAAAAAAATGGTAGGTACAACAAACTCATCCTCAAACATGGCTTTTTTCAGGGTAACACCAAATTGCAGATGTAATATTACTGGAGAATCCAGCTAATGCACCACAGATGGATGCACGGTCAAGACCTGGAAATTAAAATAAAGAAAATATTGCAGCTCTGAGAATGAAAAGCTTTGCTTTCAGCCTTCCCACGTTCTACCTGGACAGTCAGCAACGTCACCTGGTAGAGTCAGCAGCTGCAGCAGGACAGAAGGCAGCACAAAGTCTTTCCCAACGGACACATTTACACCAAGATAGAAAATAAATTCAGAAGTGCAGCAAAGCCCAAATAATGTTCTGCACTAACAAAGTCTTGGCAGCTGAATGGTATAGAAAAACACATATAACCAGCACACAGTGAGCCTCCACATCTCCCCGAGCCCCAGATGTCCAGATGCACCAGCACTGCCTTAAAACCCACCCAGGAGCTGTCACCACACTCGGGTTTCAGAAAGAACAGCAAACTTTCAGCACTACCAAAAGACACAGAAACTCAGACCCTGCTCATCTGTTCCTTTTTAACTGGCACTGACTTACCTGCACGATGCCACACTGCAGATGGAAGAGATGGTTTCTTTTGCAGAAGTTGGTGGAAAGGCTGTCGAGTTGTCCAATTATGATCTTTTAACAGCATCTGACAGAACCTAAAGAAAAATAACTTTACTAAGGACTTCCAAATCCCACGTCTGCACTGCCCCACTGAAAAGGTATTCCACGTGCAACCCCAGGACTCTCCAAGACACACCTGCCTTAAACCTCTCAGGTAATGCAGCAAGTTTGAGGCTGGATCACAGAACATCCCTTTTTTCCCTTTTCAGTGCTGCCTCTCTCTCATAACAAAACAGACACAACTCTCTAATTTTAGCCACCAAAAAATTAACCCACACTCTTTCAGTCACTAAAACCAGGCAGATCACCTTACTCACCTATCACAGAAGGGGATAATCACCCAGAGGGGGCCTCTGGTCTTCCTTTTAACAGTCCTGAGCACCTGAAAATCTCCCTTGGACTAAAAACCTAATTTTCAGAAGATTCCAGATAGCTGAGATCAATCCAACCCCAAGCACCTGAGAATTTACTCCTGTGCTCTGTGGGTTTAGCTGGTCACACCTAAGGGTCTTAGGCATGTAGAGAAGAGTCTGCATGACTCTTAGAAGGTACAAGACAGGCTAAAAAGGTAACTCAGTAGCTGGTCTTACACAAACAATTCTCATAAGAAAAAAATACCAAGACAGTACTTGGGTAAAAGATATAAAAACTCTACTAGGAAAAAGCCATACCTCTACCCCTGTCCACCTCTCTGTATTTATTCCCTACGGGGAATAAATAATTCAGTATATTCCTGTACAAATACTGTCCCCAGAATTAAACCAGACCAGTTAAAATGAGGCCCTGCTCCCTACTGGCCACGTAACTTGTGCTAGCAGTGAGAACAGGGATGGATGAAGGTAAAAGGGGAAGAGCAGATAGGAAAAAACCTGAAAACATTAAGAGGAAAACAAGTGGAGGGGTGGAACAACAACAGGCCTCACTTTCACCTGCTTGCACACCTGATTTCTGTAACTGTGTACACAGCCAACAGCACCCAGGTGTCTGAGAGCAAACTGAATGTCAGAAAATGAAACCAAAACCCACCTCGTGTCACAGATGAATTACTACATACTGAGGAGCAATTATTACCTGGCTTCTCTCCCCCTCATCAGGCACAGATGAGGGGAAAGCAGGTAAACTACATAAACAGCATCTGCAGGGGCTGTTGTCAGAGGAGGTTGGTTCTCTTGGGGGTCATAAACCCAAACACAAGCACTGCAAGAGGCCCAGAGTCCTCAAACATGGAACAGGAAAGAAGCTCTGCCTCATGACACTGCTGCAAGTGAGGGAGACATGAACACAGGAAAGGTCTAAATCGTGTTATTTGCTTATTTTTGTGCTCTTTGAAGCAGGTAGAGACCGCTACAGGGTGTGTGAGGAAGGTCGTTCAAGAGAAAAGTTCTCTTTTCTCCCTTTAGCTTTGGGCAATAATGATTACATCCCATTTCGGTGCCCAGCACTACAGGGTCCTCTGAATTCCCCCTTATTGCTTGATCCTTAGCAACTTGGGAGGAATTCCCTGTCATTTCAAGGCCGGAAGGATACAGATGTCAGGGGGTTAAATGCTCTTCATTGCATGATCCTGAGCACACGTGGGGGGGGAGGAATTACTCCTTCTACCGTGGCCCTGAGCACATGTGTGGGAATTACCCCTCACTGTGGGGTTCTGAGCGGGTGTGTGTGGAATGGAATTACTCCTCACTGGAGGGTCCTGAGGTGGGGAATGACCCCTCAGACACGGCTCCTCCGGGGGCGCAAGGCTGAGCCCCCTCAGCACCTAACCAACTAGTCAGGGGGAACTAACGCCTTGCTGCTGGAAAGGACCTAGGGGAGAGCAACAGTCCCTCCCCGCCCATCTGGAGGAAAAGGAACAAACTTCACCGCCGTCCGCCCGGCTGGGGCGGGGAAGGGGAAGAGCGAGGAGCGCCCGGCGCGGCACCGCTCGCTGCGACACGGCCCTAACCCTGACCCGCGAGAGGGGACCCCTGCGGGAAAACAGCTCCGTGAGAGCCGTGGCGGGGCAGCGGGAGCCCCGCGGTCAGCACCCACCGCCGGGGCCCCGCGGTCAGCACCCACCGCCGGGGCCCCGCGGTCAGCACCCACCGCCGGGGCCCCGCGGTCAGCACCCACCGCCGGGGCCCCGCGGTCAGCACCCACCGCCGGGGCCCCGCGGTCAGCACCCACCGCCGGGGCCCCGCGGTCAGCACCCACCGCCGGGGCCCGGCGGTCAGCACCCACCGCCGGGGCCCCGCGGTCAGCACCCACCGCCGGGGCCCCGCGGTCAGCACCCACCGCCGGGGCCCCGCGGTCAGCACCCACCGCCGGGGCCCCGCGGTCAGCACCTACCGCCGGGCCGGCGCCGCCGCCGCGCTCAGCCGCCGCACCGCCGCCATCTTGGGCCGCTCCGGCCGCGCCCGCCATGGCCCGCGCGCGGCGGCGCCCCCTGGCGGCGGCGGGCGGCAATGGCGGCGCCTGAGGGGCCGGGGCAGGGCCGGGACCCCGGGAATGGCGGCGGCGTTCGGGGTGAGAGGAACCCGAGCTCACGGAGCCCGATCGCGACCCCAGCACCGCCAAGGCCACCCTAACCCGTGTCCCCAGGTGCCACATCCACACGCGTATTAAATCCTCCCAGGGACGGGGACTCCACCACTGCCCTGGGCAGCTGTGCCGGGGCTGGACCGCCCTTTCCATGAAGGAATGTTCCCAATGTCCAACCTGACCCTCCCCTGGCACAGCTTGAGGCCGTTTCCCCTCATCCTGTCCCTTGTTCCCTGGGAACAGAGCCCGCCCCCCCCCCCCCGGCTCCCCCCTCCTGTCTCTCTTGCAGAGAGCAAGAATCATAGAATCAACCAGGTTGGTAAAGACCTCTGAAATCATCAAATGCAACCCTTGATCCAACCCCGCCGTGGTTACCACACCATGGCACTGATGCCACATCCAGTCTCACCTCCCTGGGCAGCCCATTCCAATGTCTGATTACCCTCTCTGTAAAAACTTTCTTCCTCATATCCAACCTAAACCTGCCCTGGGGCAGCTCCAGGCTGTGCCCTCTTGTCCTACTGCTGGTTCCTGGGAGCAGAGCCCGACCCCCCCCGGCTCCCCCCTCCTGTCAGGGAGTTGCAGAGAGTGAGAAGGTCTCCCCTGAGCCTCCTCCTCTCCAGGCTGAGCCCCCCCAGCTCCCTCAGCCTCTCCTCACAGCACTTGTGCTCCACACCCTTCCCCAGCCTCGCTGCCCTTCTCTGGCCCTGCTCCAGCCCCTCCACATCCTTCCCAACCTGAGGGCCCAGAGCTGGGCACAGCACTCCAGGGGTGGCCTCCCCAGTGCCCAGGGCAGGGGCACAATCCCTGCCCTGCTCCTGCTGCCACACTATTCCTGAGCCAGGCCAGGCTCCATTGGCCTCTTGCCCCCCTGGGCCCCCCTGGCTCCTGTTCAGCTGCTGTCAGTCAGTCCCCCCAGGGCCCTTTCTGTCCCCCCACTCTGGCCCAGCCCGTGGGGCTGCTGGGGGTTGTTGTGGCCAAAGGGCAGGACCCGGCCCTTGGCCTGGTTGAACCTCATCCCCTTGGAATCAGCCCAACTCTCCAGCCTGGCCAGGTCCCTCTGCAGAGCCTTCCTGCCCTCCAGCAGATCAACACACCCCCCAACCTGGTGTCATCTGCAAATTTGCTAATGTCCCCCTGAGCCTCCTTTTCTCCAGGCTGAGCCCCCCCAGCTGCTCCTGCTGCTCCAGCCCCTTCCCAGCTCCATTCCCTTCCCTGGACACGCTCCAGCCCCTCAGTATCTCTTGTTGAGGGCCCAGCCCTGGGCCCAGCCCTGGAGGTGCCCCAGCAGTGCCAGCACAGGGACGGGCACTGCCCTGGGGCTGTGACACCCCATGGCTGGGACAGCGCAGGGGCCACTGACCTCCTGCCCCCCGGGCACACCCGGGCTCATGTTCAGCCTACAGTTGTGTCCTGTCCACAGTCAGCATGTTTGCTAGAAATATAAATACAGAAATATAGACATATAAATAAAAATACGGAAACCCTCCCCCCCCCAAAAAACCCCCAAAGAACCACCCCCAAGGGTAACAATTATTTCATTAATATTTACTTTTTTCTCAGCCCTGCAGCACGTTCCAGGGGGATGAGGCCCCACATCCTTGTCCCAGCCCCGAAGGAGCAGCACAGTTACCAACAGTGCTCAGAAACAGCCCCTCCAGCCCCCATTTCACCTCCGAGCCCGGTAACACACAAAAAGCCTTTCTTTCCTCCCTCCACTCCCCTCCAGTTCTCACAAGCCATCAAAAATTGCAAATTTACCCCAGTAACATTCCAGACAGGGTGGCTGCAGAGGGAGTTAAGAGGTAACACTTTTATTTTGATCCAAATGTATTTGAAGTGGAAGCTCTTGGTGCAGGGGCCAATGCTCTGGGCCCTTGAGCAAGAAGAAAGAAGAGTCTTCCCGGGGAGGAAGGAGACACCTCCACAATGTCAGCAAATTAAAGAGATCCTAGGTCATGTCTGGGCCATGGCTGCATGTCCCCCCCGTTGGTCTGATTATAGTCCTGCCCATTTGGGACCAGAAAGTCACTTCCATCGGTCCGATGATCGCTGCTGCTTCTCGTACAACTAAAACAGCCTAAAAACCCCACAAAGTTCCCTGAACAAAACCTCAGCCTGTTTCAGTCATTCCTCACTGGATCTGCTGTACCTTGGCAGGAGCTGCACTCACAGAACACACGTTTTCCTGGGCTTTGCCAAAACCTTTTCCTGGATCCTGTCATTCTTCCCCCCATGCCCAGCTTGGCTCGGATGTGGCCGTGGAGCATTCCCCTCCCAGGTGCTCTCTGGGATGGGTTCACTGTGCCCCTCTTCTGCAGCAGCAGCTCCAGGCTTTGCAGGGTTTTAAATCTCTGGGGTGCAAATTTCACAGCTACTTGTATTGATTTTCTTTCCTGAGCATCACAGGCTACCCAAAATGAACATTCGACAAATCAACCTCAAATGTGGCTTTTTCAGGGGAACACTAAATTACAGACAGCGTTAACGGAGAATGCCATTAATGTGTGTCCATGGATGCATGTTCAAGAGGGGAGAAAATTAAAAAAAGAAAATATGGCAGCTCTGAGAACGAAAAGGCTTCGTTTTCAGCCTTCCCAGGCTCTGCTGTTACCTGGGTGTTACCAGCAGCAGCTGCAGCAGGGCAGAAGGCAGCACAAAGTCTTTCCCAATGGACACGTTTACCAAGATGGAAATTAAATTAAGCAAAGTCCACTCTGCAAAGCACTACCAAAGCCCCTTGTAGGTCTTGGCAGCTGAATGATCTAGAAAAACCACACGTCACCAGCACTCGGAGACTCAACATCTCCCAAGCCCTGGATGTCCAGATGCACCAGCATTAAACCCACTGAGGAGCAGCAGCTTTGCAGGGAGAGCTCAGTTGCTCTGTGCTGCTTGCAGCTGCAGCTCTGCCCTGGATGGGACTGGAAGGACTCTCTGGATATAAAAATTGGATATAAACTGGAATATCCACTGCTTAAAGCAACAAGATCAGTTTGACTTTACAGCTGCCAGATAAAACAGCAGGGCCAGACCCAGTTCAGCATCTTGGTAGAAAAAAATCATTAAAACCCAGATTCTCTGTATCCAGCAAAAATATTTTGCAAGGGGGGGGGATAAGGAATGCACAGAGGAGACAATGTAGTGTCATCAGATAGTGTTTTAATAAAATGTACAGAAGTTTACAAGTCAAACATTTCTTCATGATTACCAGAAACAGATGATCCCACCTGGAGTGCAAAACTTGGCCCCACTGATGTGCCAGGCTGAGGTGGCTCCACGGCTGCTCAGGGACCACACAGAGGGGAAACTCTGCTCGTGGGACACGAGTCAGGTTGTGTGTCACAGTCAGGGGCCCACAGACACTCCCAGCTCCCCTTCCCGCTCCACGTGGGAACAAGGGAGCTTCCTTCGCTCCTGGACTGGGTGAGGGTGCTCTACCCACTGCACCCTACACCCGAGTGAGTCCCCTGCCCTCCCACCCCATCCCTGGGAGGGATCGGGAACACTGGATCAACATTATCCCTCCAGCTTCACAGGGAGCATTTCTAGGTGTGTGTGAGGGTATTTACCCACCTACAACGGAAATTACAGACCGTGGCTTATTTTTAGAAACACTAATGCAGCTGTGATCAGGCTTCAGGAATGTGTTCCCAACTGGACCAAGATTTCACTGTCAGGACACTACTGTAAAAATGCTTTGGAGTCTGTCGGTGTGCTGAAAGGCCTTGATTTAACACCACGAGGAAAACAAACAAACAAACAAAAAACAACAAAAATTCAACTCCCCAACAGAAGAGTCTTTGGTGGAAGCTGAGTTAAAGTAACCGATTACCACTTTGGAGTGACTGACAGTTCAGCAGCTGAGCAGATCCCGCCCAGTTTGCTGCTGTCCCGCGGAGGACGCGCTCCGGGATGTGTCACGATGCTCACAGGGGTCGGAGCTCAGCATCACCTCTGTGCTCCAGGCAGAGTGTGCACCCCAGGCTGGGTGTGTGCTGGCTTCAGGAGGCTGAACTGTAAACTTAACACCAGGTGTGACGATGCCGAGCTGGCTGGAGGGAGAGGAGACACGGGGAAAGCCCCCGAAATCCTGCAGAGCCGGGCAGGACACAGGTCCAGGTCCCCCCACGGCGCTGTACCAACGTCATGGCAGTGAGCACAGAGCCAAGCCAACTGCTTGCTCTATTCACACAGAAACTCTGATTAATCACTTTGAAAAGAGACTTGAAGTGCATTCAGGGAGTGAGAACCAAGAACCACTCCCTCTCCCAGCAGGAATCCCAGATTGTCCAAACGATCCCTGCGAAACCCTCCGACCGTGCACGAGGGCTCAGGGCAGTGAACAGAATTTACTACAGCTTTACTAAAGAGATGAAACCAGTGCTCCTCTTCAGAAAACTGATTTCAAAACACTGCATTGAGGCTGTACTAGTCTTACTTCATTAGGATCACTGGTTGTGTGGCAAATAATTAGCATCATTCTTCCCTGTTTTAACATTACAACAGCAAGCTTCAGAGACTAGAGAAATGAAATTTCCATTTATAACTCATCACACTGAGGCTGCAGCAGTGGCAGTGCAGGATTAGGAGGAACACAGGCTGGAAATGAGAAGGATATCAGAGTAACAGGCCCTGAAATTGAGTCTTATGACCATAACCAAAAGTCCCATTACTTTATGAGCCACATGCAGAGATACAAACGAGCTGCCTCCACCCTCAGAAGAGATTTAAAACCATTTAAGCACTGGATGTGTCTGGCAGGATTGTGAGCTCTAGGGCACAGTCAGCCTGCAATTTGTGTAAAGTGCTTGAAGGACAAAAAAGCTGCCAAAATGCCAGCTGGAAACTCAGCCTGACCCAACCTAACAGGGCTGGAAATGAGCCCAGACACCCCAGTGTACCTTCCCTTTGAGCACAGAGGGGACAGGCTAATACTCCTCCAGCACCAGCTCCGTGGCACCTGGACGTGGCAAGACCAGAAACTTCACAGAATTATCCAAAAGCAATTTTTCAAGTAAAAATGAAGGGCAGGAAGAACCTGAATGCAGTGAGCAGAGGGAACACCCTGAACCCACCTGGGGTTCAGCAAAGCATCTCCCTGTTCCGCAGGTTCATCCCACACTGCCAAGGCCTGGCCTCCCTTCCAGCAGCTTCTGAGTGAATTTAAGAGCTCGAGGCCAAATGCAGCCTCCTGGCTCAGTGTGGCTGCGACACAGGTTGGTGTTGGGACAAATCTGGGCCCTCACACTCCCCCTCCTTGAATTCACAGTTTGCTGTCACAGTCGCTCTCAGGGCCTCTCACTGATCCCATCCAGCAACAACCAACTTGGGGATACAGAGATTTAAAACAAAAAACAAAACCAACCACCTTTTGGGTGTATATTTAAACAGAAAACTAAACAACAAAACATAATAAACAGCCTCAGCTTTGCTGAATAAACATCTCAAGGGAAACCCAGAAACTTCTTTTACAGTACTTCTATTTTCAAGAGGTGGTGATGGAGGACAGAAAGCCCCTAAACCACCACTATGCACCAATATTTATTAGCTGTGAGTGCAGCAGAGCAGGGCAGAAAGTTCCCAGCTCCACAAGCTCCAGCTGACCTGTTCACCAGGAACTTGTGCAAGCCAATGTGGCCTCCCTGCCTTCCAGTATTCTCCCTGCCCAGCCCAGGGCTCTCAGACCTCAGCCCAAGCATTTCCCTCTCCCTTCCAGGCAACCCCCATGTCCAGCAGAACACCTGGCTCATCTCTTGCAACTGGAGATATTTTGGAGGGGATTCAAATTCAAGGAGGGGAAAGGGAACACTGAGTAGTTGGCGATTCCCACTTGCAGATGCTTTGCAGTCCCCTCCCAGCACTCAGGGATTTTCCATCCACCTGTCCATCCATCCCTCCATCCTCCTGCTGTGTGGCTGGGATGAAAGGTGAGCAGCGAGTCTGCCCCAGACTGTGCAATGTCCTCTTTTTTTCAGCCTTCACACACATCTTTTCTGTGCCCCCTGTGTTCCTATAACACTTATTATTTGGACCTCGGACAGAGCCATGTGCTGGAGGTGGTCTCAGGGTTTTTTCTCTCCAAACTACACCAAAGTCTATTTTCAGCTGCAGCAGCTCCCCAGGGTGTGACTCCAGTGAGTCAGGAGGAGCTACAGCTGATCCTTCCCTCTCTCCAAGGGCCACTACTCGAGGGACACTACTCACAGGACTTGCTCTCTGAGTACAAACACATCAGCAAGTGGACAGGGAGGAACCTGCTCTGCACACAGCCAGTCTTGACCTCAGAGACCAACCCACGGCTCCAACAACTCCCCTGCAAACGTCCAAAGACCACAAACCCACTCGTGGGAGACCCCCAAACACAAAGTGTGTCCTTTACCCTCAGCACAAGGCTCCAGCTTGGACTGGGAGCTTGGACTGGGATCCCATAGAGCCCTGATAGCCAGGTCTTTGAGAGCCAGTCCACTCTCACAAGCACCTTTGCAGGCCAGAAACAGCAGATCCAGGGCAACTTCTGCAACCAGGCATTTTGCAAAATAAACATGGGAGGTTCCACTCTCCTCTCTGTCCTCCACTAGTGAGCAGAGCAGGGAGCACAGTCTGCTCTGGGCCTGCCCAGTGCCTGCCCGGGGGATTCTGCCTCTGAACACTCTGGCTGCTCACACAGTAAGTACTCGTCCTTCTCTTTGGGACTGGGATAGAAAACATAATACTTTGGAAGGAGAGCGAATGGATTTTGTTTAAGTTCATCCTTAATCAACAAGAAAACAAAAGGCAGAATTTACTCCGAGTCGAGCTCTGCCAGTCCAAACCCATCTAACAGGGCCAAGTCACACCACGTGAGGTACATCAGCACAGCTATGGAGCTGTTTGCATCATAAATTTCCCCCAAAGGTCTATTTTTAATACTGTAAATACACATCTCTCCTTCACCAAGAGCAGATTTCCGGGTCCTACACTTTGGCATAGACCAGACAGGAAATACATGTGTAAAAGTGAAAGCTTTGCCTGATTGTTTGCACAATAATTCGATTTTCCAGCAGCAGGAACAGCCTGATTGCCTCACTGGAGTTCCCAAGACTGAAGGCACTGTGAGTCCTTCCCTGACTGGTGTGGCCCCAGCCTGGGCAGCACTGCCACGTGTCCCACCCCAGGGAGAGCAGAGCCACGGCTCTGCTCCCACCACCCTGCACAGCCTGGCCCCAGAGAGCACTGCAGGGTCTGCCTGGGTGGGCACATCACCCCCAACACCCACCCAGAGCCACAGCTGCCACGGCCACACCGCTGCTGAGCAGCAGGAATAGCACTGACGGCAAAGAAGTCACAATAAGCCTTTAACCTGTGAAATCACGTCCTTTCCAGAGCATTAGCAAGTCCTGCTTGACTTGCTCTGTAATTAATAAACCTTTTAATTCATCTTATAATGCATTTCTCTAGCCAGGACCAGAAAATATGGAATACTACTAGTTTGGAAAAGCATCTAAAAAAATAAATGGGGGGAAGACAGTGAGAGGAGGAAGGTGAGAAAGGCTCTGAGGATCCTGAGAGCCAGGCATTGGGACTAACATAACTTAGAACGGTTCCACTACCTATCACTGCAAAGAGAGTTCCGACCAAAAATAATAATTATTTTATACATATATATTGCTATGTCATTCATTTCGACGCAGAGGTCCGAGGTGCTGTGCGAGGTGTCCCGCAGGAAGCACAGCCCCAGCCCCCAGCACGTTAAGGCTTCTGCTTCCCCGCTTTGGAAGGGAAGGGCGCCGAGGAGAAGGGATCCGCGCCGGGCAGCTCCGTAGTCCTGGAGGACAGCGGGACCACAGAGACAGAGCCCGCTATGGCCTGCCTGTTGGTCTGAGACACCACTTTGTAAGCAGCTATGGGCTTGGCCTCGAGGCCTGGCCCGTCCTCGGGGCTGTAGTGCCGGGAATACTTGGACAGGGATTGCGGACGGAAAGGCTGGTTCCCTGCGGTGCCCAGCGCGGCGTCTGGGGGCAGTGCGGGGCCTTGGCTCCTCTCCCCAGCCACGTCCCCCTGCTCCAGCAGCCCTCCTTTAGCAGGGACGCTCTCCTGGGCCTCCACAGCTCTCCCGGAGCAGGGATGGAGGCTGCCTGGCTGAGGGAACCCGGCAGGAGGATACTGAGACCTCGCCGAGGCCGCGGCCCCGTGCGCCGCCGAATCCAGGCTGGGGAACAGCGGGAGAGCTCGGCCATCGCCCCCTTGGCTGAGGAAAACAGGTGCTGGGAACGGCTCCTTATGGGAAGTCAACTCTTCCATGCTTTTCTTCTTAGTGAAAGGGGCTCTCAGAAACACATCTGCTTCTTCTGGATGTCGCAGAGCCACGTTGCCCTTGGAGAGAAAAGGAGCTTTGGTAAAGACATCCCCCTCATCCGGCACTTTCCTGGAGCTTCGGAAAGGAGCCGTGGCAAAAACATCCGGTTCGTTAAAAGCCTCCCCGGCGTGCGACTGGAAGGCTGGGAACAGCATCTCCCCTGCTCTGGACTGGGAGTGGGGATCTCCCTTGGAGGCCTCGTGCCTCTCCCTGGGCACAGGCTGCAGGAACCCTGGGCACAGCTTGCACGTCTCCTCTTCCTCTTCCGAATCCATCAGTAAAGGCCTGGACCCGCTGCAATCCAGAATATCTCCCTCATGGTCTGTGCCCTCTCCTTCACTGCTGTAGAAGGAGCTGTTGCTTGAAGGACCATCTCTGGCTAAATATTCCGACTCCGAGTTGTGCTGCACTTTCACCTCCAGCATCTTGGACTGACCCTTGTACAAAGCGAGTCCGTCACTGCCAGAATCTGCTTTACAGAGCTCAAGAGCTACAGCTGGGAACACGCCTGGATCCCTCTGCAGACCTACAAACACAAGAGAAGAGTGTTACTCAACCAGCTCCACGCCCTTGGTCATCAGTCAGCATGAGAGGTACTTATGACACAAGAACATCACACTGTTCAGATGGAAACCACCACCACGCATGGAAAATGGGCGGGAGAGGGAGGGAAACCAATGGAACTAAAAATGCCGGGAAGGTGTTTACGACACACGAGCTGAGACACAACTAACCTAGCCTGGGGACACACAGGCACCACTGCTCAGAGGTGGAGGATGTCTGACACACGCAGGGGGCACACGCAGCACTCTCAGCACCACCCCACAGGTCTCCTCTCCCTCCCACCCGCGACGACGACACCACGGCAGAGGGTTCACGTCCCAACGCTGCTGCCCAGAGTGAAGCTCCAGCAGACAGACAAGTTCTGTCACTGCCTGCTGCCCTGCTGGCTGCCCTCTGAGCACAGCCACCGCTTGGCACAGCCTCTGTTCCTGTGAGCCAGCCCACGGATACGTGGAATTACACTCAGGCTTGGAAAATACACAGGAATGCCCCTCAATCTGCTAAAATAACATGGCCCTTTCAAAGACTGAAGGTCAGCCTACAGCTTTTAGTGAATCCTTGTAACTGCAGCAGCATCATTTTAAACTACTGCCAGAGAAACCATTTTTAAACATCCATACCCTGACTTTAAATCAAGGATCATGACTACAATGACCTGGCTTGTTTCTGGATTTGATAACAAGACAGTGCAGGGAGAGGCTGCCCTGCCCTTCTCCAGGGTTGGTTTTGCCTCACGACTCACACAGACAGAACAGAAGATCTCTTACCTTCACAGAACTACTGGCAGGTTGGGAGTGTGTCATTGGACTCATGTTAGCAAGAGGACAGGAAAAAATCACATGAAAACTAAGCAGTAGGAATTGCAGGAAGAACGAGGAGGGTGAGGAGGCTGGTTGGTGCCCACGGACAGCGGGGCACTAACCCACACACCCTGCTGTGCCAGAGCAGCCTCCTCACCCAGGGGAAGCTCTGCCCAGGTCAGTCATTCATGTTTGCACACCCATCACAGCCCTCAGGGCACTGCTCCATGAGCCATGGACACACACGGGTTATCCCCTTCTCCAGCACCTCTCACAATTAAAGACACAGCAGGCGTTCATTAAGCATCAAAACTGGTATTTATTGGGAAACTCTTCACTTGGATACATGACACTGCTAAATAAAGACAGTGCAGATATGTGAACAAAAACAAAAACACCCTCTGTCTTTCCTGAAGCCTCCGTTGTCGCACTGGTTTCCCCTGAGATGCCACCCTTGGATCACAGGAACACACTGCCCAGGTGTTACTGGCACATTCTGGGCACACAGGCTGAGGCAGAGCAAGAGCAGCTGCCACATCACACAAATGCCTCCGAATTCCCCATGAACTACAGATTAAGGAACCAAGGGAAAAAGGCATTTACCGTAGAGAACATGATGCCAGTGCAAACCAAGGCCCCCTCTGCACAAGAACAGCACAAACACACCGTTTGGTCGGTGTTCCCTGCCTGGTTACGTGTGTCAGCAGGTGCCTGTGCCCACGTAAGCCAGGACATGTGGGA